AGAAATAAGAAGGCGTCATACAGCCTGTTTAAAGAAGAGGTTGTCTTCTGCTGGGGAAAGGATGCCACAGCTTGGGCTAAGGTGAGGGGCTTCTGATCACTCTGAAGCATCGTCTTTGGAGAATCATTTGTTCTCTGGTTTATGTTTCTTTTAAAGTGGATATATATGGAGACAGAGAAAGAGAGAGAGGGAAAAGGAGAAGGAGAGAGAGAGAGAGAACTTCAGATAAGAAAACAGACATCACAACAAAAAATTCTGCTTATGTTTCTCTGAAGCCAAGGTGAGGAAGTAGAGAAGTGAGGAACATTGTTCTCTCTTTGTACTCTGGCCAAGAACTTTCTAAAGCCAGAGTCTGTTACAGGGGTTAGAACACACACACACACACACACACACACACACACACACACGCATGCTTATATATACCTAAGGATGCACAGGCCTGAGGCCAGACACACACACCCCCACACACACACACACACACACACACACACACACACACTTGTATATACCTCAGGCACAGGCCTGAGGCCAGAAGGTTATTTTGAAAAATTGCATTGATTGCTTTATATATTTCATACACACACCTCTGACAAGCATTAATTTTGAAGCAGTTCTGTTAAAAGATTAACTGACCCATAGGAAAACATTTTTAGAGTATATTTGAACAGAAATCAGTTAGAATTGGTCAGTGCCAAACTGGAAGTGGTTAGGAACACTCTATCCACAGGAGCTGGTGGGGGAGGGAAGAGTCTCTTACAGAAAAGTGGAAATAAAGCAAGGGCCTTGTTAGACTGTTAGTCAAGTCTGGTTGCTTGTCCTTAGGTTTCCATTTCCTAACCTGGCGGCATTTGTAGGTTTCAGGTTTTGGACTGATTATATAGGCAGCCAGAGCATTAGAGCCACCTCCTCTAAAGGGTGGCTTGTTCAATTAGTTTAACAGTTCCAAACTTAATGGAAAAGCTGCAAGATCAAGTTTCACCAGTTGTCCTGATTGTGTCCTTTACAAAGATCTAACCCCGGAGAGCCCCTTGCACCCAGTTGTCCTACCTTCTCCTAATTGTTACAGGAAGGGGAACCTTTTCCAGGTCTGGACAGTAGGTTCTTGTCGAACACTCAAAAATGAATTGTTCTAGAAGACAGTACTGACAAAGTAAAAGAAAAAACACTTTATTGGGAAGGGTTGCCTGGACAGAGAGCAGCAAGGTGGTACAGGAACCCAGAATAACTGCTCTGCCTCATGGATCACAATCTCAGGTTTTATGGTTATGTGTAGTTTCTGGGTTGCCTCCGGGCAATCATTTTGCTTGTGCCCATATTTGGTCTGACACAGCATCCTTCCTGATGGTACGTGCAATCTCTCAGTCAAGATGGATTCCAGCAAGGATTTTGGGAGGTTGGTAGGACATATGGACTGGCTTCTCCACCCTCTTTGGACCCCTCCTGAATTCTCCTGGTTAGTTTTTGGTGGCAGCACCTTCCTCCATATTGGGACCTCCTGTTGCCAGACAACTCATGTAAGTTTCAATCACTGGTTCCCTAGTATAATCTCTTGTAGTCTGGAGCTATTCCTTAATCTTTCCTTTTCTGTCATGACTTTGACACTTTCAAGATCATAGGTCAGCCATCTTTAGAATATTCTCCAAGTGAGGTTTATTAAAAAGTAGTTAATTAAAAGGTAATTATCAGGGAAAGATAAAAGCATGGCTTTCATACAGATATAAAATTGAACATATGTTACAAGAATGTATGTTATTCATTTGATATGAGGGAACTGGGCAGATGTTTTCACCCGTTCAAAGGAAGCTTCAAAGGACACAAATCTGCATGAAACAGAGGAATATTGAAATGAATTGCAAATGGAGACAAAACTGGTTTTTCACCTGCAGGGAAGAAGTCAGTTAAATCACTTCTAGACAAAACTGTGGACACTAATTTCCCTTTGAAACATAAATTCTCTTTTTCTATAGGTTTATCCAATGTTTTCTTGTTTTAGAAAATGTATGTGTTTGTCTAGAATATCACAAATGCTTGTGTTTGTTTCTTTGCATCCTATTAATTGCACATGATATCTCTGTCTTATTATTGATGTTCATTTTGACCACTTGTGAAGATACTGCCTTCCAAGTATCTCCCAGTAATGCTTTTTACCCCTTTTGTAAATAATTAAGAGAAAATCTTGAGTAGTTACCCATGGGAAGTGGAAAGTGGTACAAATCAGATTTATATATTTTTCCCTAGAGATTTAGTTCTTCAGCAGTACCAGCAGTTAAATCACTTCTAGACAAAACTGTGGACACTAATTTCCCTTTGAAACATAAATTCTCTTTTTCTATAGGTTTATCCAATGTTTTCTTGTTTTAGAAAATGTATGTGTTTGTCTAGAATATCACAAATGCTTGTGTTTGTTTCTTTGCATCCTATTAATTGCACATGATATCTCTGTCTTATTATTGATGTTCACTTTGACCACTTGTTAAGATACTGCCTTCCAAGTATCTCCCAGTAATGCTTTTTACCCCTTTTGTAAATGATTAAGAGAAAATCTTGAGTAGTTACCCATGGGAAGTGGAAAGTGGTACAAATCAGATTTATATATTTTTCCCTAGAGATTTAGTTCTTCAGCAGTACCAGCTGAAGGTAGTACCACACTACCTTTAAAGCAATGTAGGCCCATTCGTTCTTGTCTTATTCCCTGGGCTATAACTCATAACCGTTATTATTTATCGTGATGCTCGGTTTGTCTCCAGCATGGCTTTGGAAACTTCTTCAAGCTGTTTTCTGTGTCCTACCTTGTTTCCTATTATTCTTTGAGCATTTCTGTACTTTTTGGCTCAATAAAATGTTCTGGACTTTTCTTGGTCTTTTCTTGCCCCAGTCCTGGCCAGAGTCATTTCTCCAAGGAGCCCCAGTTCCTTTTAGTGGAGAGTAGTGTTTGGCTCTTGCGAAAGGGCCCAACTCTGCTCAGGCTTGCCTTTCCATGGCCACCTACTTCCTTTACTCTGCCCATGGCAATTTGAAGGAGAAGAAAAGGAAGCTAATATAGATCTGGGTGAAACATGTCCTCCAGCCTTCTCAGCTGAAAAAAGACATTAGAACCGTCAAACCATAAACCACCCCAGCTGCACCCCACCCAGTAGGGATTCCTGGTGGAAAAAAACAGGATACTGGCCCTAGATAGCTAAGTGAAGTGAAAGTCGCCCAGTCATGTCCAACTCTTTGCGATTCCATGGACTATGTAGCCCACCAGGCTCCTTTGTCCATGGGATTTCCCAAGCAAGAATACTGGGATGGGTTGCCATTTCCTTCACTAGATAGTTAAGGTGCATATCAAAGGAATGATTTCAATGAGCCCAGACTCTTACATCTTCTAGTACTTAGAAAAACACTAAATCCACTTGCTTAAGAAGTCTGATTTGTCTTTATTTAACAGTAATCTTGATGTTCTGACTACCTGGTTTTTGTTGCAAAAATTCCTTTGTATACTGTTTCCTCCCTTAAGGCCTTGGAGCAGTCCCTCAGAAGCAATCTGAGAGGCTGTACTATGGGCTTAAGTCCAAGTCCTTCAAATAGAACAAAATCCTCAACTCTTAGGTAGTGCATTTATTCATATATATTCATTACATATATTCATTATATATATAATATATAATTTAAACATACATTTTTAACTCCCCAGTTTTATCAAATACTAGATCTGATCACCTCGTGGTCATTTGGGTTTCTGAAGTGGTTACATTTACATTTATGTGGTTGAAATGTGAAACTTAACTTCTTCTGAATTGAATACCTACTCTGCAGGTGCCTGATGGTATAGTTAGTAGTTGAGTTACAGAGTCAGCCTTTGCCTTCATGGTGCTGGGAGGACTGTGAGATGTCCTAAGTCAAATGCCTGGTGTGTTTAGCACTGCAGACGTGGGTGCCACACTCAGTCCAGTCAAGGAAGGGAAATCAGAGGTCAGGGAGGCTTCACAGAGGTCAGGGAGCCTGGAGTGAATGTGGGATAGGGTTTAGCTAGTCTGACAAGGAGGGGAAGGATATTCCCCATTAAGGGAAGAACACACTTAATGCCAGAGAGATTTGGCAGGCTTGAGGAATGGGAAGTGGTTTGATAAGGATAGAATCACTTATTAGCTACTTTTTTTGACCTAATCTTTAGTTTTTTAAGAAGCATAAGTGTCCTTTTTTGCAGACAAGTTTTGTCGATTGTGAACTTTTTTTGCAGGCTCCAGTCCTTGAGTTCCGGCTGTCATTCAAGACTACTGCACTCCTCATAATGTCTTCCTTCAGAAGAAGCAGTTTTTTTTTTTTTTTCTCTAAGAAAAGAGGAAGTAGAATTAGTGGGCATTTTACCAAAGAAAGATAATCAACTATTTCTGTTCTGTTGAGCATATACTTAAGAACAACTGGATTAAGGCTGTGGGGCCCTACTTTTTCATTGAAAATATGCTCCCCCTTATTTCTAGTGATGTCCCCCTTGGTTGAATATATACTCATTCTGAGCCAGAGGGAGTGTTTTTGTTGCCTTTGTGTGCGTGCTCAGTCACTAAGTTGTGTCTGACTCTTTGCGACCCCATAGGCTATAGCCCACTAGGCTCCTCTGCCAATGAAATTTTTCAGGCAAGATACTGGAGTGGGTTGCCATTTCCTCCTTCAGGGGATCTTCCTGACCCTGGGATCAAACCCCGTCGTCTTCAGTGGCTCCTGCATTGCAGGTGGATTCTTTACCACTGAGCCACCTGGGAAGCCCCTTTTGTTGCCTTTATTCAAAAGTAAATGCATTAGGTTGGTTATAGTAGTTTAATCCCTATTTTGGATTGTTTTGTGTCATTAATAAACATCAATTTATTACTTGGAGAAATGTTTTGAAATGAATTAACTGCCCTTAATGGCTGTTAAACCTGTCATATAGCTCACTCTGGGCTTTCTTCATGATATGTAATTTGTGTAAAGTTCATTGCTGTCATGCATGCTCCTTACATAGTTGTTTTTGAATTTTACAGACGATACCAGAAATTGCAGAAGATCATGAAGCCTTGGTAAGAATTTCTGATCTGTTGATATAGATGATGTAACACTTCCTTCTTCTCTGAATAATTAAACTCTGTCCTCTGATTGTGTAACTATGTGTCTAGATATTTTGAGTGATTTTTTTTTTTTTTGCTCTCTTTTTGATGTTCTTATAAACAGGTTCTTTAAAAAAATTATTTCCCTTTTCTTTTTGCTTTGTGGTAGAGAGTGTTTTATGTTTGTAACCACAGAATGATTACATCAGGATTGCTACCCTTCTCTTGGAGCAAGGCTAGGCATAATTTTATGTATTACTTTAAACAAAACCTTTCTTTTTTGTGGCCTATGTAATGTTCAAAGTGAAAAATCTTTGATTTTCTTCACTGACTTGGTAAGAAAAAGATCCACATAAAAATATTGAAGATTCAAGTATAGAAGGAAAATTATTTACTTTCAGTCTGAGAAAATGTTCAGTCATATATATATTTGTGAATTGCATGATAATTGTGTCTGGAGATCTCAAAACCTCTTTCTTAGGGTATTCTCTCCTCAGTGCCTTTATTATTCATGAAACAAGAGGAGTCCAAATAGGATCTTATAAACTCTCTGTAATAGGCTGAACGAATTTCCATTTTGCCCAGTTATTAAGCATACAGTTTAAGCTTGAGAAGGAAGATTGAACAGCATCTGAAAACGTGCACCTTATTTTTAAGCCTCCAGAGAAAATCCTGAACAGTGTAATAGTGATCTCCAAGCATTCATCTTCCCCTACCCCTCCCACTAGAAAAAGCATTAGTTGCAGGAACTCTTCAGTTATTAAATTCTAATAAGATAGAAACATTGAATTTTTAGGATAAAGCTTATTAAATCTAATTTTGATATATATTTTAATACAGTAGAAACACTTAATGGTAATGACAATAGAATCCATCTCTTGTTGAGAATTTACTCTGTCCTGGGCATTGTCTCAATGTTTAAATGTTTACCCTTGTTACTTCTAATTCACACTTTTATCCACAACACAAGATGAGTAAAATTAGGATTATTTCCTTGATGCAGAAGTTAAAGTGAGGTGGTATTGGGATTCAAACTGGTTATTTCTTCTCCAGTAACCTAATACAATTTGTTAATGCAAAATTTTGGACTCCAGCCAAAATAACTTCTTAAAATTTATCTGTCAGCAGTTTTAATCTTTTGGTATATAGGGGCATTGCAAGTGTGAATCATGATTTTTATTTATGATGGACAAAATCAATGCTCAGGATCCTGGTTCTGGTAATGGCAAAGTAGCCTTATCAGACTAAGGACCATAGATAACAATTCTGAACTCTAGACATAATATTGCAAACAAAAACATCTGAAAACAAGTATTTAAGGAACTAAAGAGCAACTGAAACAGACAGAAAGAAGTCAGTCAGTCTTTGAGGGAACAAATTGGCTCTAGCTGAGATTTGTGTGTTCACAGCTTTTTGCCTGAGGATCCCTGCTCATCCAGGTAGCGTGTGTGCTGCAAGTGTGCTAGGTCACTTCAGTCGTGTCCAGCTCTGTGCCTGCTGTGGACTGTAGCCTACTAGGCTCCTCTGTCCGTGGTGATTCTCCAGGCAAGAATACTGGAGTGGGTTCCCATGCCCTCCTCCAGGGCATCTTCCTGAACCAGAGAGAACCCGCATGACTTATCCTGAGTTTTTTTTTTCCTGAGTTTTTTGAGGTGTTGTTGTTGTTTTTTTTTTTTTTCACCACTAGCGCCACCTGGGAAGCCCCATCCAGGTATCTTGGAGCGATAAAAACCCTCAATCTTAGTGCTAGTGGTGGTACATGCCTCCTTTGTCCATGCGACATAATTTGGGGCTGGCAGAGCAACTAGATAATTAAGGAAAATCCATGAAAGAAAGGAGGCTCAGAGGATGTGAAACCCCCCATAAATAAATATGAATTCTGCCCAAATATATCACTGATCACTGAAGTGTGAATGTACATGTGTGTATGTGAACCCCAAAGCGTATTCAGATTTTTTGTTTCCTTGTGGGTCAGTTTTGATGTGTCAGTTTAGTCCCCTGAGCAGCTAATGCTGAGATGGAGTGAGGAGAGTAAGAGGTTTACTGGAGGATGGGTGGTACTTTGTGGCACAAAGTGAGGTTGGATATGAAACCTTTCAGATAGTGAAATAGAGCTGATGCCTGCGCAAGGAAGAAGAAAAGAGGAAGCAGGTGTAGATCTGACAGTCCCAGCCAACCCAATAGGAAGCTCAGTATAAATACAGACTGTTAGAGGGGTTACACAATGAAAATTGGTTACACTGGTGAGTTTTATTACACACATGCAGAAGAAATACTGAATCTACACATATGGTTTCAGAAAAGAGAGATGGTGGGGAAAAGTTCCCAATCATTTGATGAGGCCTGTAAGGCCAATATCACTCTGATAACAAAACCTGACAAAGCTAATTTAGGAAATAAAAATTATAGGCCACCTAATGAACAGAGGTGCAAAACTCCCCAGAAACATATGAACAAATATAAGCAAGCAAGGTATGAAGAAGATTTGTGGCAATAAAGATTTATCTCAGAAGAAGTTTAACATCTGAAAATCAGTCACCATGATTTAGAAAAATAAAGGAGAAAAGTTAAACAGAAAAACCACCTTTATGGATTCAAAAATAGATAACAGATACAGAAAAAGCATTTCATAGCATCCAACACTCATTCATAAGTATTCTCAGCAATCTGGGGATAGAGGGAACTTCTTCCACCTAATAAAGATTATCTACAAAAAAAAAAGCAGTATCCTTAATGTTGGAAGATGAATCCCTACTCCTCCCACTAAAAATTGGGAATAAGGCAAATATATATTCACTTTTTGCACTTCTAGTCAACATTGTACTACAGTTGTTAGCCTTAGCAATAAGTCAAATAGAAATAAAAGACAGTGGCCAGAAAGGAAGAAGTAAGGGCTTCCCTGACAGCTTAATGGTAACGGTAAAGAATCGGCCTGCCAATGCAGGAGACACGAGTTCCAGCTCTGATCTGGGAAGATCCCACATGCCAACGAGCAACTAATCCTGCATGCCACAACTACTGGGCCTGAGCTCTAGAGCCCAGGAGCTTAAACTACTGAGAGCTACGCGCCCCAGAGCCTGCACTCTGCAACAAGAGAAGCCACTGCAATGAGAAGCCTGCACACCACAACTAGAAAGTAGCCCCACTTGCCACAACTAGAGAAAGCTGTGCAGCAATGAAGGCGGAGCACAACCAATAATAAATAAATTTTTAAAGATACTCATATTAAAAAAAAAGAAGTAAAAAAACTTTATCCATAGAAAATCCTAAGATATCTACAAAAAAATGGCTTGATCTCATAACGGAATTTATCAAAGTTTCAGCATATGACATTAGTATGTAAAAGGGATATATTTTTATACTTTAATAGCAAACAACTGAAACATGAAATTTTATAATTTCCGTTTACAGATGTCAAAAATGATAAAATTCTTAGAAATTAATTTTAAGAGGAGACATCAATACCTGTTGTCTGAAAAATAAAAATATTGCTGGAAGAAATTAATGAAGACCTAAATAAGTATTTAGCATTTTATGGATTGCTGAATCCAGCTGAATACTGCATTTTATGGATTGGAAGACACAGTATTGTTAAGATAGCAGTTCTCCCCAAATTAGGTTTAGTGCAATACAGTTTTTTTAAAAAGAAACTACAAGCCAATCTTAAAAACTTAAAGAAAATGCATTGGACCTAGAAGAGCCAAAACAATCTTGAAAGACCCATAAAAATCAATAAAGTTGGAAGATTTCATTAACTGCCTTAAAGACTTCCTACATAGTCAGTAATTAACATACTGTGATATTGATATAAAAGGATAGACAGATCCACAGAATAGAATAAAGAGTCTAACATTGATCCACAGTTAAATTTGCAACAAAGGAGCTGAAAGAATGTGTGTTGATATATCATGCTGTGATTCTAAAGGGTATGTCCAATGGGGCAGTTTAGAAATCCATACATTTCTGTGTCTGTAATTTTTACCACAAAAATAAAATAGGCAGGGTAGAACAAAGTTATATCATTAACTTTGGCAATTAGGGATACATTCAGTATGATTTATTAATAACTTAATAAAAGTTATTTATTAATAACTTTTAAAGTGGTCTTTATTTTCATCTTTTCTCTGCTTCTCTCTTGGGCATGGCACCCAATGAAAACATTTGGAAGCACTATTTGATAAAACTAACGGCATAAAATTTAAATTCTTTGAGATTGGCTGAATTTTCTTGGAAAGAAGATGGTCTCTACTGAATTGATGAGAAACATTTATTTGAATCATTCCAGCACACATGGTGTGTTGGCTGTGACATGGCTCTCAACCAGCATGTAAAGTTTGTAGTCAGCTTAATCTGTGGCAGCCAGTACTGCAAAATCTTTAGCTTAGCACTTTATAAAAAAACAAATAAACCAAACAAATAAAAATGCTCCCTGCATGTGCCATGTGGTTGCTTTATATCTATAATCCTTTTAGCCTTGATCTTCTGCACCCAGCACTGATTTCAGAGACAGGATCTTGGCTCTTGCCTTTCCTCTTTGGAACCTGAATCACTCCTCTAGCAGTGGAAATAAACATCTGTTTCAGGGTTCAATAAGAGCTTTTGTAGCTGCCTCAGTTGAGATGAGGTGAGTGAGTCCCTTGATTTGGAAGGTAATAACATTTTAGCACTGCCATCCTTTCCTTGCAACTGAGGATTTAAAGTTGAATTTTGAAAAATGTCTCCCATGGAAAGGTAGTGTGCCATCCAGCAACCAGTTATAATGAATTATATATGTCATATATATAGTATATATAATGCAATGTATTATATACATATTCTATATAGTCATATATATGTATATATATCATATAATAGATAAAATATGTCATTAGATATATATTAATTTACACAGTATATAAGATATACATTATATATACAATATATTGTATCATATATAAATATATCTAATAACATTTTATATATTATATAAGATGCATATACATACATATGATTATATAGCATATGTATGTCTAATAACATTAATCCATAGAGTTTATAATTACATGTGTGTGTGCTCAGTCATTTGGTTGTGTCCAATTCTTTGCAACCCTATGGACATTAACCCACCAGGCTCCTCTCTCCGTGGAATTTTCAAGGCAAGAATACTGGAGTGGGTTGCCAATTCCTCCTCCAGGAGATCATCCTGACTCAGGGATCGAATCCACATCTCCTGTGTCTCCTGCATTATAGGTGGATTTTTTACAGCGGAGCCACTGGGAAGGCCCCCTTATAATTATATATGTGGTCAGATAGTAAAGAATCCTCCTGCCAGTGCAGGAGATGCAAGAGACATGGGTTCGATCCCTGGGTCAGGAAGATCCCCTGGAGAAGGGAACAGCATCCCACTCCAATATTCTTGCCTGGAGGGACAGAGAAGCCTAGCAGGCTATAGTCCATGGGGTCGCAAAGAGTCAGACACGACTGAGTGACTAACACTTTCACTTTCACAAGTATAGAAAGTGTTATTAGATAATATTTATATAAGTATAAATTAAGGAAATAGCAACCCACTCCAGTATTCTTGCCTGGCTAATCCCACAGACAGAGAAGCCTGGCAAGTCACAAAGAGTAGGACACTACTGAGTGACTGAGCGCACATGATATAACATTTATATGAAACTTTTTTGGACCAAGAGAGTGATCCTTCCCCTGGACACCTTGGTGTGTGATGTAAAGAAACTTCCCTCACTTATCAACCGTTGACACTAACCGGTGATTGCCAAACACAGACAGCCCTAGCTGCAGTCTCAGAAATAGTGCTCCAGTTCCAACCAGGGAGATTGAAACGCTAGTTCCCCAAAGCAGCTTGGAGATTTGGAAAGCAAACAGTGCTGTTTCTCTTTTTCTGCATCTTTTGCCCCAGGTCCTGGGAGCCTGTCTGAGAAGTCTGTAGGCAGAGATCTGGGGCGTTTGAGGAAGAGGGAGTATCTCAAGATGTCACTGAGGCCATTTGGATTATGAGTCCATTGAGCGAGGAAAAGAGTTATGTTGCCTTCAGATAATTAGAGAGCATAAGTACAATTTATCTTTTGCTTTTAAAGCAGTTAATGAAGACTGATATTGTCTTTAGTCCAAGATATAGGGAATGTAAAGAAGAGTTTGTTTCTAGCCATGTGTCACTCCTTTTTCTGTTTCTATTGCTTTTCTCTTAGTGACAACACCAAGGCAATGTTTTTACACTGCATGGAAGCTATGAATGCCATCCTCCAATGTCATGTACATCTTTTACAAACTGAGGTCTTTCAGCATGCCAGGTGTAAAGAAATGCAAACCATTCGTTACCAGTTGTGTGTGTATGTGTGTGCTCAGTCGTGTCTGGTTCTTTGCAAACCCATGAACTGTAGCCCGCCAGGCTCCACTGTCCATGGAATTTTCCAGGCAAGAATACTGGAGTGCATTGCCATTTTCGACTCCAGGTTCATTATCACTTAGTGGTTGTTTTTCTCCTTTTTTTGAGTAAAAAAATTGTTAATATTGTTTGTGTGTGTGTGTAAGTTGCTCAGTCACGTCCGACTCTCTGTGAACCCTTGGACTGTAGCCCGCCAGGCTCCTCTCTCCATAGGGATTCTTGGAACAAGAATACTGGAGTGAGTTGCCATGTCCTTCTCCAGGGGCTCTTCCTGACCCCAGGCATTGAACTGCAGGCAGATACTTTACCGTCTGAGCCACGAGGGAAGTTAGTTAATATTATTTACCCTAATTATACAACTAAGTAATAAATTACATAATATTGTTCACTGAAAACTCTATACATAATTATGTAATGTTTTCACAGTGATACTAATGTCTAATAATCTGTTAATAAATCTTACTCATTGATTTTATTTCCTGGCTCTCTTATTTTCCTGAAGAAATTTCTTTTTTTTTTGTTGCAAGCTAGTGTTTAGATTTTCTTATGACTCATTGTAGGAAGAGTCATTCTGTAATTTTTCTATAACCTTTCTTACTCGTCCTTTTAATCCATTTTCTACCTATCTACTTTTTTTGTTTTCTTAAAGTAAGCTTGAGTTTTCTGGTTTGGAATTTCTTTTTGGGGCATGATTCTCTGATGCCACCTAGGGGGAACCTGTAAGATGGGGATTGCTTGTCTGTGACTCAGAGAAGTCTTTTAAAAATATATGCTGCTTTTTTTATCTGACTTGAAAGGTTTGGCTTTCCTGGCTTTTTTTTTTTTTTTTTCTGGCTCCAAGGACAGAAAATTCTTGTCACAATGAAGACAGACATTTGAAAATCATGAGCTTCGTGTACCTTTTTAAAATACCTCTTTGCATAATGATAATAACTAATATTCATATGCTGCCTTCTGTGTGTTATACACTGTTCAGAGGGCTGTAAGTGTGATAACTCCTTTCATTTCCCCAGGAATCCTCTGAGTAAAGTATCAGCACCACTAGCAGCATCATTGTCATCCTCTTTTTTAAAAAATGAGAAAACTCGGGGCACAGAATATGTCAGTGACTTGTCCACTTACAGCTGTCCACCTCTGCTGTCTGACTCCAGAAATCACCCACTTAACCATTTCCATCTAGCGTGTCTCATCCCCTCTGGTGTCTGATACCTTTGGATCACAGTCCCTTCCTGAGAGTCACCTCCTCTTTTATAGATTTATTTTCAGCATCTGAGATGATGCAAGATTTCCAAGGTCCTCCATGGAGGCCAGGCTGAGAACACTGGGAAGAAGGGGAACTGCAAAGGTGTTTTAAAAGAAATAGGAGCCAGTTTTCTATTCTGTTAATTGAAAATGAATGGGCCATCTAAACACTTTATGAAACTCTGTAAAGTAGCAATCATGATATATAGGAGTCTACAGATTAAAAATCTGAACTACTAAATTTATTTTTAAAAAATCAAGCATACGAATCAGTGTGGTTGTATACAGTATGGAGATTCTGATGGGCATAATTTATTGTACCTGAAGGGACAAAACTTATCTTGAGAGATTTAAGTTAATACTATCATGGTGATAATTTATGGTAGAGGTGAGTTTCTATAGAAGATTCTCAAAGTTGTTTTGAAAGCACTAGAAACCAGGTTGTTGTCTGGTAAAGGGTGTGGATGTGAGAGTTGGACTATAAAGAAAGCTGAGCGCCAAAGAATTGATGCTTTTGAACTGTGGTGTTGGAGAAGACTCTTGAGAGTCCCCTGGACTGCAAGAAGATCCAACCAGTCCATCCTAAAGGAGATCAGTCCTGGGTGTTCATTGGAAGGACTGATGTTGAAGCTGAAACTCCAATACTTTGGCCACCTGATGTGAAGAGCTGGCTCATTTGAAAAGACCCTGATGCTGGGAGGGATTAGGGGCAGGAGGAGAAGGGGATGACAGAGGATGAGATGGCTGGATGGCATTACTGACTCGATGAACATGGGTTTGGGTGAACTCCGGGAGTTGGTGATGGACAGAGGTCCTGGCATGCTGTGGTTCATGGGGTCACAAAGAGTCGGACACAACTGAGCGAATGAACTGAACTGAACTGAAGGGGTGTGGATGGAGCTATTATAGAAGGCAATTCTTTTACCTGAGTTTGCCTGATCTGTTTAAATTTCTAACTTATTCATAAGACACTTCCTACAGCTTCTGAATCACAGCAAGTCAATGGGCAGCAATCATTATTATCTATAATATTCTAGAAAGGTATTCTATAAAGCCTATTAACTAAAGTTAAAATGCTGGACAGTGTAACATAGAAATAAATATGCTTATTTACATATATGTTTGTATCTATGAGTGTGTGTATGTGTGTAAATGCACTCACCAAACACACACACACACACACACATACACACACACCTAGGTATATTTGGGCCACATGAATCTTTTGCAAAGTGCTGATACTTTTAATAGAATTATTTATAACCTTCCCTGTTGGATACCCAGAGGTAATAAGAGAAGCGTGTTGCCCTCTTCCTAATATTTGTTTGCTGAGGAGCTTTTTTAAGCTATCATTTTCTGAATGCTTATACACTGCACTTCATTCAGTGCTCCACCAGTAGCCCTGTGATGAAACCGATTTCACCATCCAGTTTTTCAGTGGAGAGGACGATGGCCTAGAGAATCTTAGGGACCCACTCGGGGCAATACAGCTCACCTGAGTGAGACTGTGAATCTAGGTCTGCCCCCCAGAGGCCCTGGCCCCTCACTGTGAAGCTGCCTGCCTCCTTCCTACTGACCCACATGTGTAAGGACGTTGTCTGGGGCCCAGCTGCTTATCCCAGTGATCTTTTACAGTTCTGCTTGTATTCATCTTTCTAAAGCATTCTCACTTCCATCTCTCCTTGTGCTGAACTCTTGGGCCCATCAGCCTCACGCCTCCTTGTTTTTTCCAGCTTTGGAGACATGCTGTCCTTCACCCTGACGGCCTTTGTGGAGCTGATGGACCATGGGATAGTGTCCTGGGATACGTTTTCGGTGGCATTCATTAAGAAGGTAATTCAGATTGTGCTTTCCAAGCTCAAACCATTTCTTTTTTTACAGATATTTTTCTATGCTTTGACCTTATTGCAAAGTTGTTTCCTTTAGTTCTTTGTGTTAAAGGGCGAGTGTGATTTTTGATAGTATTATATATATATGGTGGTCTGAGGGCCTAAATTCTATATAAAAATGGCATTTTCTCCCCAGCAGGATCATAAAGTTTGTACAAGAGAACCCCTAGTTGAAGGTGACATGTTAAAACCCCTCTTCTGGACGCCATTGTTTTTAAGACCTACTAAGAACTAGAGTTCCTAGTATCTTTCCTGAACGTTCTCTCCTCAACCAGATGTTTAGGAGAAGGGAAGAAGGCAAAATATATTGATTGCTACATGACTGGGTCTGAAGCAGAAATGTAAGAGAAAAAGGGGTGCTTGGGTCCATGCCTCTTAGGCAGAGTAAGCCTGCTCACTCGTAATATTGGTGGAGTTAAGTGTCTCTGGGATCAACTAGTTCAGTTGGTTCCTACTGTCCTTAGGAGGAAGCTAACAAGGGGGCAGGCAAAGGTGGACCTGGTGTGAGGAGAGAGAGCAGAAGAGCCCCCCACCATTCCTAGCAGTTGAATAGTAGTAAAAACACATCTGCAAATTTACAATTCTCTTTCCAGTCTTCTAACCAAAAATGAATAGCCTTGACTTTTTAACTGTTAAGGGTAGTATTAAATCAAGAATCGTCATTATTAATTTGTTAACTTATTTTTCCTCTCTTTGTGAAATGGTTTATAAATGTATTGGCATCTTTCTTTTTGCTGTTACTGGAAATGAAGAGATATTTGGAATTTATATATTTGTCTTAAATGTCTAGATTCCTGGGAAGAATGGTCTAAAATAAAGAACTTTAGAGAGTCTTTGTGAAAGCTAGAAAATAAAACCAAAATCCAAGATGAGTCACTTGAGGTTTTTTTTTTTTTTTTCACTTGAGTTTTTAAGAGCTTTTAGTTTGCAATCATGGTAAACTTATAGAAAATTTGAAAAAAAAAAAAAGTACAAAATGTTCCAAATGACCTTCAACCAACTTCCTTAATGATAGTATTTTGCATAATAATAGTATCATCAAAACTAGGAAATTAACAGTGCTATAATACTATCACCATTAATTGATTTCACCAGTTTTTCTCTGGTTAAGGACTCAAAACTGCGTTTAGTTATCATGTTTCCTTAGTGTCTCCCGATATGATCATTCCTGTTTTTCCTTGTCTTTCATGACTGACAGTTTCGAAGAATACTGGTCAGTTATTTTGTAGACTGTCCCTCAATTTGGGTTTGTTTGATAATTCCCTTAAATCAAGGTTATGCATTTTTGGCAAGAATGTCAGAGAAGTAATGTTGTGCCCTTTTTAGAGGATCGCATTGGAATATGTGATGTTGGTATCTCTTATTAATGGTGACCTTGATTATGTGGCTGAGACGCAGCAGATACCACTGGGTCTCCCGACTCTGAAGTTACATCTTTTCCTTTTGAAGTTAATCAGTACCTGGAGGGAGTTACTGCCTTGAACTGAAGAGCATAGGAGAGCCCTTAGTCTGTCAAATGAGGATGTTTGGAATAGAAGTCTCACAGATTGAATACCTGAATGATGTTGTCTATTTATTTCAGGCAAGAACTGATTGGGAATCCAAGGTCTTCTTGATGTACCTCTGAATCCTTTTTTCTTACATAAGGGCATAAAGCCAAGAAAAAATGCATAGTAAGAACCTAAGAAAACACACAAAGAAGGATGAAGCCTCTTTTTGCCTGTATTTGTCAGTGGCATGAATTGCTTAGGAAAAAAGAAAAAGAGAGAGAGAGAAATGAGTGTAGAAGAGAAAGCCAAGGCAATCCAGATGTGTTAGGAAGTATTCTTCTTTGGTGGTGGCAGGTAATGAATATAAGCATTAGGTTTTAAATGCAGAGAAAAAATTACTGTATTTTGTGTTTCCAAGATAAAAGTTCTAGAGAAATGGAGTATTATTTAGCCATAAAAGAGTGAAATATTGCCATTTGCAGCAACATGGGTGAACCTAGAGATTATTATACCAAGTGAAGTAAGTCAGACAGAGAAAGACAAATATTATATGATGTTACTCATATGTAGAATCTAAAAAGTAACACAAATGAATGTATTTACAAAACAGAAACAGTCTTATAGAGATGGAAAACAAGTTTATGGTTACCAAAGGGGAAAGAGGAGAGGGATAACATAGGAGTATGGGATTAACAGATACACACTACCATATATAAAATAGGTAAATATATATATATATATATAATAGGTAAATATATATATATAAATAGGTAAATATATATATATATATATGTATAATAGGTAAACAATAAGAATTTACTCTATAGTGCAAGGAACTATATTCAATAACTTCTAGTAACCTATAATGGAAAAATATCTGAAAAAGAAAAAATATGTATGTATATATATACATGGACCTCCCAGGTGGGGCAGTGGTAAAGAATTCTCCTGGCAGTGCAGAGTTGAGAGTTCAACCCCTGTATCAGGAAGAGCCCCTGGAGAAGGAAATGACAATCTACTCCAGTATTCTTGCCTGGAGAAACCCCTGGACAGAGAAGTCTGGAGGTCTATAGTCCATGGGATCGCAGTCGGACTTGATTGAGAGATTGAGCACCCACACATGAATGTAGATACATATACATATAAAACTGAATGACTCTGCTGTACTAAAACTAATACAACACTGGAACTCAACTATACTTCCAATTTAAAAAAAAAAGTTCTAGGGAGGCAACTTTAAATCTGAAGATACTGGGTTTTGCAGATATTTTTTATACTTAAAATTTTTAAATTCAGTCTGAGTTTATGGCGGGCTTTTCTTTTCTACTTTCAAATTGCTTTGCCTTTTCTGATATTAGAGCCTCTTTTGCTATAAAAACAATGCTGTTCTGAATGTGAATTCCTTGAAGTTAGGTTGTGCTTTCAGCAACATTATCTCTTGATTCCTGTAGCAATCCTTTGCAGTAAGTGTTGTGTGCCTGGTCAGGAGGGGAGGACACAGTGCCCTGGGGAGGTAGAGTGAGGTTCTGGAGAATGGGGTGTCATTGGCCCCCCATTTCAGGGCTCCCTCCCGCATCAGCATGCACCTGCACTTTAAATGTTGGAAAGAAGAGATTCTGAAGGACAGAAGGACAGACTTGTTGAAACACCATTGCCTCTTGCTCAGCCCTCCCTGACCTCACTGGGGCAGAGTTAACTGATTTTTTCTGCTCTTCATTCTCCTTGAATCTTGTCCATGCCCCTGTTCCATCACTTATCACTCTCCTGTGAATTTTTTGTTCTTTTGATTGGCTCTCCCAAGAAAGCCTGGTGGAACCAGGATGGGACCACTGCTTTCTTCTAGCCTATCTCCTCAGAGCGTGGCATAGAGTCAGACCTTAATACATTTCTGTGAAAATGAATAAATGAAATTTACTTTGGAAGTATTTTTCTGAACTCTATAACTTGAAGAAAAAAAAAAGAATACAGTGCCACCGTATTTAAATGTATTTCAAGTAAAACTTCAGCTATGAATGGAAAGGAATTACAAAGGTATCTTTCTTTAAATGGGAGATGTGGTTAGAGAGAATGACAATAATCTAATTTTCTAACTGCTTATGAAAATGGTTTTCACTCACTGAAATTAACCAAAAATCATATCAGATCCAAGGAAGCAAAGACTAGCAGTCTTGGCAGTTTAAATTAAACACTGAGTATTTTTCAGAAGACAACATGTTCATAATGTATTCCATCCTCATTCCTAGCCATTCTGTTTCCTTTGCATTGCTACTTGGAGCTCAACTCCTTATGAGAATTTTAAAAAGTGGTCATCAGAAAATGACTTTATAATTGAAAGTTTTTGTAAGGTTATCTTTTTATTCATTAGCTGGATCAAATTCAGCACTTTGACAACCCAGGAATTGTATACAGGAAACTGTCTTTTAAATGGAGCTTTATCTAGACAAAAATCAGCTAGGAAATGTGCTGACAAAAGATGCTTATCTCTGTGGTCCAGACTTGGCTTCCTATTAATGCCAAATTCATACGACTTTGGAGAAATATTTTTTCCCTGCCAGCCCTGATATCCTTCTCTGCTATCTATTTTGTTATGTGTGGATCTAGAGTCTAGTTTACAAAGTTTTTCTGTAATAAGTAATATCATTTCATAAACACTTTGAAACTTGGAATCCCTTGAGGCCAATCTTTAATGTTGCTGCTTTTTAAAGACTTGGTGACTTAGAGAGAGGTCAGAAGGCATGGAGAAGAAAGAAATGAAATAAAAGAAAAACAACCTAGAACTTTCTGTGTTAACGAGTTGGTTTTACCCTAGCCAAGTATAACATCAGTGCCTTTTCTTGGAAGGAAAGTTTTATACAAATGCTCTTGAAACCTTAGCTCTGCAGGAGGGCCCGGTTCACTCTGCAGTAACTTCAGTGCCAAGATAAACATCCAGCCAATTTCAGTTTAGAGACCCAGTAATTTTTGCCTCTTAAAAGCTTGAGAGATTTATGGACCACTGCCTGAATAACTTAAAATATGGGAGAGGGGCTCCATGTTCTCCATGTATCTTTTCAGTTTTGATAACAGAGGATAATTTTAAGGTCTCATTCTAAGTAACTCAAAGTGTTTCTGTGATTTAAAAAAGTTGTATCATTGATTCATACACTGTGATGCCCCTTAACTTCTTAAAAGTCACCCAAATATTCCTATGTTTTATCTACGTAGCACTTTTATTTATTTATTTTTCTTTAATTTTATTTTTTTTAACACTGAAAACATTTTGTATTGGGTATAGCCAGTTAACAATGTTGTGATAGTTTCAGGTATAGAGTGAAGGGACTCTGGCATACATGTACATGTTTCCATTCTTCCCCAAACACCCTTCCCATCCATGCTGGCACATAACATTGAGCAATTCCATGAGCTGTACAGTAGATTTTTGTTGGTTATCCATTTTAAATACAGCATTGTGTGTATAACCTTCCCAAAGTTCTAGGTAGTGCTTTTAAATGAGTGGAAGCATGTGGAAGTAATAGATATAATTATTGTTAGCTCCTCCTCCTTCTTTTTCTCTCTGATACAGACCTACTTTCAAGAAGCTGTACTTTGACATGTTTAGGCTGGTTCACCCATGTTGGCCCAAGTACAGAAATGGAACTGGAAAAAATTTAAAGGCAAACGAAGTCATGATTGATTTTGAGGAAGACAAGGGAAATTAAAATTTAACAAGATGATTTTTAACCTTCTATAGCTATACTGTGACCTGTAGTTTTTAAACTAGACATAGAAAGTAACATTTAAACTTTCACAAAGTTTTCCATTCACCAGTGAAGACAGTCATCATGTTTTCTCAGTCAGCCCTGCTACCTTGGTTATTAGTATTCATTAGATGAAAGTATTGGGTCATTTAAATGTCAAGTTAAAATTACTGATATATAAGGCAAAAGATAGAAGTTAGTTTCAACTAGTATCTCCTACAGAATTGTACATTAGACTCTAAAGAGTCATATGCATGCTTTCTGCCAGGCAGTACTCAGCTTAGTGTGTTAAAGTTTTGTAAGCTACTTTAGGATTGCTGAAATGATGGTATCTACATGTTAAGGAAGGGCTGAAATAATGGAAAAGATTAATTTTAAACAATACTTTGATGAAGGTAAGGCGTTATTTTTATGATAAATATATAAAAATGGCAAATGGAAATGGAATATGTATATGGGATACAATGTCTGAATTAAAGCAAAGACCATTACCTGTTTTACCACCCCTGTGTAAGCCTGTTGGGAGCAGGCGAGAGTTAATAATTTGTAGAGAACTTTAAAGCCCATTATAAGAAACTGTGCTTTGTATCAGGAAAACATTGAGCATTTTGATTCAGTATTTCAAGAAAGGAAATACTGTCAAGGCATATTTATAGAAGTAGAGGGTAAATTTGTATCAGAGGGAAATCTTGACTATAGAGGAAATTGAAGAAGCCGCTGTCATAGTAACCCAGGAATGAGCTGGACCATGTGCCAATGTGCATGTACGACAGCATGTATATGAGAGGGTGGACATTGCACAGAGCTTCCTTGGTGGCTTAGATGGTAAAGAACCTGCCTGCAATACAGGAGACCCAAGTTCAGTCCCTGAGTTGGGAAGATCCCCTGAGAAGGGAATGGCAACCCACTCCAGTATTCTTGCCTGGAGAATTCCATGGACAGAGGAGCCTGGTGGGCTACAGTCCATGGGATCACAAAGAGTCAGACATGACTGAGCGATTAACACTTTCAGACATTACAAATGTGTTCACAGAGACAGAAAGTAGGGAACTGGGACTATTTATCACTAATGATCATGGCAAACTTGGAGAAAGGTGATACTTGAGGAATAAGAAAGAAGTCAGTGAGATTGATTTTTAGACCATTTAATTTTTGACTTTAGAGTATCTAAGTGGATGTATACTTTTGGATGCCAAGAATAAGCATGTAACATACTTTATAGTAAATGACTGTTGTGTGTCCATCTTTGCTAGATTATAAGGTCCTTGAAGTTAAAAATCATGTGGGTTTGCTCATCTCTTGATTTCCAGATCCTAGGTCAGTGCAAGCCTGTTTTATAGTACATGGTCAACACCTATTACCTGAATGAATGAATAGAGGGGATGAAGGCAAGAGGGTGGAGGAGGAGGTTTGATCATAAACTTTCAACTAGAAGATTCTCCACAGAGTCTTAAAGGTACATCCAAATTTACTAAATGGAAATAAGAATATGATCATGGAAGGAAAATAGACTAGTGCAGAGAAATCACAGGTATTGTCAACATATTTCTTTGTGAGTTCTTCTCTTTTCCAATAAGTGTCAAGAATTGTACTGGGATAATGAAAAGTTTTTGGTGTGGTGTTGATGAGGAAGTCAAGGACTTAATATTGGATTTAGAAGAGGTCTAAGTTAGGCATTAACCCTAAGCACAGTATGAGGGTCGCTGGATTTTTGTGAGAGAAAGATGGACTTAGAGAAAGAAAAGTGGCCTCATCGTGGTGGATCTGATAGGGGAACAGATCCAGACGGTGAGGATTAAGGCAAGGGCTTGCCAGGGACAGTAAACACATTGAAGAAGTTTATTAGCTGTGAAAGGAGCTAAAGCAGTCTTTTGAGAATCTTAAAAATCTTATAGTCTTCCTATAGTCTGTATTATAAAATAATGCCCTTTTGGCATATACTAGTATAATGTTACTTTACTTCTTTACGTCATATATTTTCTATCCCTGAAACCCAGGTGTCTCTGGAGGCAGAGAGCATGTTGATAACTGTACTTGGCCACCTCTCTTTTTCACTGTACCCTCTGCTTTCACTGGGGAGTCATTGGGCTAAAAATGGTTGAGCTGGTAACTGTAAGTTGCCATGGTGCCTTTGAATTTTATCTTGTGCAGAGATGGAGAGGGAATGAGGAGAAGGGGTCAAGGCGATAGCAAAAAGGGAAATATTCATGTTGATAAGGGGAAGCTATAAGTGTCAATTTGTCATGAAACCAAATAGCTTTTAAGAAAGCAGTCACTATGATGATATAATAACAGCATTTTAATATGAGTTGTCAACATACAGTAATAACATTTAATGAGGCCTCTAAAATAAAACCTTTATGGTACCCATGTGTTTGGGTTTCTGTGATCCATTATTCTAACCCTTATTTTACTTCCCTCTTACATTCTGATTTATTATGTTTGAGGCTTTAGTGATGAATTCCTTAGGGAATGTATTTTAGAGCTTAAATGGCTATTTTAACTTTTAGCACTTCTAATTTAAATGGTTTCCTGTTTGCTAAATTTGAGAGTGATTAGAAGAATTTCTTTTAACCATAGAAATGGGAAGAATGGGGGAAAGAGTGCTTCATTGAGGAATAAAAAGGAGATTAACCAGTGACTGAAAAGTTGCCAGTTGAACTGTGTTGACAAGTGTGATTTGTGTGAGTCCCTTAAGAAAGTAACAGAAGCATAGTAAGAACATAAAAGCCATGGGTTGTGTGGGTGAAGGAGTAGCCTGGAAATGGAAGGCGGTGGCTATTAGTATATGTTGAAATTGCTGTCTCAAAGAAACACAAGAGTTCTTACAATATCTGCTCCTGAAAGCTGAAACTCAGAAGAACCGTTCCAAAAACACCAGACAGAATAATTCTTTGAAACCATCTCCTTTCTAAAATTGCTTATTACCAAATTAGAGAAATAGGCCACAAGTAGCAGTTTGTAATAAGGTGGTGAACAGTCATTGTCGACACCGTGCATTTCTGCCTATTCTGCTATAATTCCAGGTACTTTTCATACTGAATATCTGGTGTTTCTTACATGAGCTCCCGGTTGACTTCATTTGCTCGCTTCTCTGCTTCTCCGCTCTGCTTACTGTGAGTAATCAACTGTGTCCCTCTTGGGTTTTCAGATAGCAAGTTTTGTCAACAAGTCGGCCATAGATGTCTCCATCCTGCAGCGGTCCTTGGCCATTCTGGAGTCCATGGTGCTCAATAGCCACGATCTCTACCAGAAGGTGGCGCAAGAGATCACTATCGGCCAACTCATTCCCCATCTTCAAGGGTAAGCGAGATTGACGCGGCCACGGCGGGAGGGAAGCTTCTTCAGGTAGACAGCTACCATGATGGTTTGGTTGGTTTAATTAAGTATATACAGAAACAGAATCTCGATCCGGGGTATAATCAAACCATGCCTCGTGTTTGTCCGCCGTCACACTGACATGGCACAGTGACTTGGCCTGGGTGTGCCCCTTGCCTGTTCTTAGACTAGAGTGTCCCGAGTGCCTTGGGAGGGACTCAGTTCTGATGAACGTTGGTAGATTGTGTAGAGCTTTGCTTTTAATAAGATACAATAAAGCAATTTGTTCTCTTAAGTTCTCAATAGAGTCTTTATCCTTCATCATACAGTATTTTCTGTGATATGAGAATTTTCATAGTTAATTAAGAGTTTTTAAAGCCAGACTTCTTTATTTGTCTCCAGGTGATTACAATAACCTTTTTCTTGTGTATTTTATAAAATACAAAATTTTAAGATGCTTGATAGCTGCCCTAGCAGCCTTGAGTTTTGGGGGACTCTCTCCTCCCCACCCTTAGATAACTAGTAAGGTTGCCTCTGATGATACGAGCCTGAGAAGGAATCCTTGTAGGATGCCACTTGATCAATGAAAGTATTTTGGATCGCAGGTGGCAAGAAGCATCCTGAGCTAGGACAGGGAGTTTATTGAAAGGATACTGGGGCATTTTATAGAACCGAGGAATGACTTGAGTAGCTAAGCCTTGGGAAGGACAGAAACTATGGCTTCCTTGGAGTTCTCACAACAGGCCTTTTCTCTGGCGTATTGGCTGGCAGTGATGTGACTTGGCTCCCAGTAACTGCTGCCCCTGGTCTCAGGTCACACTGGCAGATTTTCAAGAGGAAACCTGATTGGCCTGTTTGGGTTGGGGGTGTAAAATGGAGATTTAAGGGAGTATTCAGTAGTTCTCAATATACCAAAAATGTTGACTATGTGTTTATAATTAAACTTTATATTAAACTACCCAGGTGCATTAGATGTTTCCTTCATTTGGGGGTAGGGGATGGTGACTAGAGTATAAAATTGTAAGTCACACAAGCTATAGACTGTGGCCTCAGGGAAAATTAGCCCATGCTCTAAAATGATGATTTTGTGTGAAATCACTCTGGAAATGGTACCAATTTCACATGTCCCTGAATGCGACCTGTATCAGCTTAAAAGTCTGTATCTTTCTTCTGAATCTCAAGGGCATCATTGTGCATTTACAGTGCACTTTGCCAAGCGCAGAGTTTCTTATTTGCCAAGTGCTGTACTAAAGGTTTTATGTGCATTACCTCATTTTATCCTAAAAGCAGCTCCTTGAAATGAGTGTGTTTTTACCCAGCGTTCCAGATGAGGAAGCTGTGTAGGGACACCCTGTGAACTTGTCCAAGGCCACACAGCCAGCCAGTGGGGCACCACACTTAGAATTTCATCCTTCCTGAGGATGTGTAATAAGCTCTGCCTCTTCCTAAATTCTCTCTAAATGTAGCTCACCGGCCTCTGCTCTTTGTTTATGCCTTGGGTCCTTCTGATTTACTATTTGTGCTGTGCTATGCTTAATATTTACTATTTACCCTGCACCTAACTGTAGATCTTGGCTTCATTTGGAATTTCTGATTTCATTCCTGTGAAAAGCAAATTTGTAAACATAAAAACCTATCCTTCTTATTCTTTAAAAGTTTCTAGTTGGAAATAGATTTTTCGAATATGTAATATTGCCATGGAGACAAAGCAGTTTCTTCTATAATAAGCCCAGGAATGTGGGGACACCCAGGACTGTTCCCAGATGTACTTCATGCATCAGACAGAAAATTACACACACACACACACACACACACATCCACATCCCCTGGTCCATATTTTTAACTCTAATAGAGGAGAAGGGAAGAGAGCCAACTGGCCACCTTTATCTCTGGGTGAGTGTGTTTTGTCTGGCTAGCAATAGTAATTGTCTCCTCATGTGTTTCCAGCTTTTCATGGTTGAAATACACAGTGCTGACTGCATCCTCTGGGTCCTGCCTTTCTCTCTCACCTTTTTTGAGGAAATAATCATGACCCTTATCATGGTCTCACTGAGGGGTGGTCTTTTCTGACTTTGTATGTTGTTCTGTGTCTTTATAGGACAGATCAAGAAATCCAGACCTATACCATTGCAGTGATTAATGCACTTTTCCTAAAGGCCCCTGATGAGAGGAGGCAGGTAAGTTGCATTTCTTCTGTCATAAAGCCTGTGACAGCCAGGGCTGACAAGCTTCCCCTTCCAATCCCAGGAACAACTCTGGGGTTCTCTGCTGCTCGGCGGTTTGCCTGGCCAGACTGGGATCATTCACAGATCCAGTGGGAGCTAGTTGGAGATGAAGTGTTTCAGAGGTAAAGCTCTTTCATCATGTGAAACCCAGTATAGAAGCCCCAAACAAAGAGCTGAAAAAAAGAGGAAACTGCTTTTATGATTGATGCAGAGTTAGAAGCCCCTGTGGTTTTCCATCATTTCACTAGATACTCACTGGGGCCAGGGAGGGATTGTCCCCATTTTTCTGATGAGGAAAGCTAGACTCTGAGAACTGTCACACTTTGCTTGGGGGAGATGTGAGGTGGGAAGATGGGAAAGGGAACGTGTAAATTGCTGCCGCAGTTGAGAGAACCTTTCATCTGTAAGAGAGGCTCTTTGCTTAGTGATATTTCTGCTGTCCATGTGTGAATATGCCCGGGAGGAGTAAGCAATTCATTTCCTCTCCTCTGTGTCATCAGAAGGAGGGAACCCCTTAAATATACCTGCTTGAAATGTACCTTTGTCAATCTTTGGTCCTTCTTCAGCAAGGGAAAGGATGATTATAAAGTGGCTGTGGAAGAAGTGGCGCTTTTGCATGTCTTAGAACTTGGCTCATATCTCAGAATCCTTTCTTTTTTTCTTTCTCCAGCAACATAACATACTTGTTACCTTGGTCACAATTGACTCCCTTTAGAAACTAGATGGAAATATGAGATCTTCCAACGTTTAGAAAGTATACTGGGGAGCTTATGACAGTTACTAATAAATTGTTTTAGAAGAATTTAGAAGGTTAGCATGCTACTGAACACTGTGTCAAGAATTTTATTTTTTTACTTTATTTTTTCGTTGCCAGGGATTTTAAACCTCAGTGGCTAAATATGAGGGTTTCTGGTTTGTTTTCCATTTATGTTTGTTTGCTCATTCCTAGGAGTTACATTTGCACATAAGCAGACTGGCTTTCTAGTTTCCTGTGCTTTTGGTTTGGTGTTGGCTGGAGCCAGGAGGTGCCTGCCCTCCCCAAGCCTATTTTCCAGACTGGATTTTTCAGGGCAGCTTTGCAGATCTTAAGTAGGATCATAGGTAGGGCTGCTCCTTTTATATTTATATCTAAATACTGGGAGCATGATAATTCCCATCAGGCCAGCAAGTTGCCTGCATATGTTTACAAGCCTAATATGGGCATCACAGAGAAGCTTGATTCTTCTGCTAGCCAGACCAGGGATGCCTGGCTAGACCAATGATAGCTGCTTGTAGAGTGAGGGGTCAAGAGCTAGGCCAGAACACTGACCTAGACTCTTGAAACTGTCTTTCCCTCTGTAGCTAGATTAGAGGAAAGGAAAGCTCAACGCTCACCCCACATGCTACAATTTCACTCGGATCTCTGCATCTCGACATAAGTAAGATGCATACCCCTTGCATCTTTCTGTTACACTAAAATTACTGTTAATCTGACTAATTGGAATTGAATGACCATGAAGAAATAGGGAATTACATGCCAATCTATGCCGACTTCAGGGTAATGATAACGGTGAAAATATAATGGGGTACCATTATACTAGAAATGCCATTAACATTAGGCTTGAATTCCGCTAATCAAATCTTTTTTAATTTTGAAAAATTAGGCTATTTGAAACTGACATAGCACAGTTTGTACGTATATTGCTGTATTAATACTTAACCACAAAGGGTCATCTAATAACATTAAGTCACTCAAGTAAACAATTCAACTAAGAAAGCGTGCTTATTAATCAGCAGGAAATTCATATTTTAGTCTTTGAAATAGAAATGACAGTACTTGTCAATAGAAAATTAACTTGGATTTTATAGACTATGTTGAATTTAAGATGAATCAGTGACTATTGTTTGTCAAGAAAATGAATATTTTGATTTTTAATTTTTAAAATACTTTCTAGTGAGTTAAGAGAGAGTTGGCCCTAAAAATTATTTTACGTTCATAATGAAGGAAAGTTTATTTGTCATTATTTTTTGAATATCAGTGGAATCTGATAAAGCAAAAGCTCAAGCTAATTGGTAATGTCTTACTGTATGTTATATATTTGTTATTGATTGAAAGTTCTGAAATTTTTTGGCAAATAGGAAAACTTGCCAAAGCCTGTCACTGATAATATTTGAGAGTCCGCCTTGCAAACATGTTTTATGTCATTTCTTTTAATCCTAATATCTATAGAAAATCTTATTATTTCTATTTTATAAATGAGGAAATTGAGAATCAAAGAGGTAAGGAACTTGACTGGCTGCTGAGCTGATTAAGAGTCCACACTAGAATCCCAACCTCATTCTTGCTCTTACCTGCAAAGCATCCCATTGAATGCCTGTCAAGGAAGCATCTCCTGCAGAATGGCCTTGTATTTGTCTGGTAAAGAACTTCCTGATACTTGGGAGACATCAAGTCCATTTTCTTACTCCAGTTAGATTAAAACATAACACTTATTTATTGGATTTACAGAAATGTCCCTTTTTTTGTTTTTTGGTTTTTTTTTGTTTGTTTGTTTTTAAAGCTTTTAGACATTGGATAAATTCCACTTCAGTCAAAAATTTTTATTTATTTCAATATCTCTTTCCAACTCGAGGTCAGACACATTGGTAGGACTCCATTATTTGTTTTTTTTTTTTCAAAATGTTAATGAATTTGGAAGGATTTTAAATACCTATACCTTATCTCTGCTTTTACTGAAGAAGAATGCCACCAAAGTCAGACCTTTTTACTTGGCAGGCAAACCTAAGCGACATTTTTGTTTTGCAATTCATGGAGTTGACCTGCCTGAAGAACACTGAGCTTACAACGGGGGTATAACCGCCTCCTGTGTGATGGTGCCCTGCCAGCCTCCCTGGGAGGTGAGGGATCGGGTCATGCCTGCCTCTCAGGTAGTGGAGAGGCTCCCTTTCCTGCCCAAATGAAGGGAAAGGGTGCTTGTTTTACGGGAGAGGGGATTGTTGTTAGGTGGGCAAATGGATCCTTTTTCTTACAATTAGTCGCCATTATTCATTTTATTATTTCCATGATGAAGAAGTTTGTCAGATCCCTTCCAAATTTCTCTACAAGCACCTATTTTTGATAAGCATTATTTAAAAAACACACACACACACACAAAAAAACCTTTTAGCTTAAAGATTTGGTAGAAAAATCAGAAAATACAGATTACAAAGGAAGAAGGTTTAAAAACACCTATAATTGCATCCCCAGAGAGGGAAACACTACCACTACTCACCCCTGTGGGACTCTCATGGGCCTACTTCCTACTTTATTTTGTGCAAAGACTTCCCCTCAGACATCATTTTTCACTAGATGTGATCATATTGCATGCACTGTTTATTTTTAAAAATACTTTTAAAACTAAGCATGATTTTGTGGACATCTTTCCATGTTAATATATCTATACAGGCAGACCTCGTTTTACTGCATTTTGCTTTATTGTGCTTCACAGATACTAATATATATATACATTGAATGTTTGTGACAACCCTGCATCAACCAAGTTTACTGGCACCATTATCTAACGGCATTTATTCACATGGCATCTTTGGTAATTCTTGCAAATTTTCAAGCTCTCCATCAGCAAAAATGCTTACAAGTCAATGAAGACTTAGATGATGTTATGATTTTTTTAGCAATCTGTCCTGTGCTTAGTCTCTCGGTCATGTCCGACTCTTTATGTCCGACTCGGTCATGTCCGTAGCCCTCCAGGCTCCTCTGTCCATGGGAGTTCTCCAGGCAAGAATACTGGACTGAGTTGCCTTGTCCTCCTCCAGGGGATCTTCCTTACCCAGGGATGAGCCCAGGTCCCCCGCATTGCAGGCGGATTCTTTACCATTTCAACCACCAGCAAGAAAGTATTCTTAATGGTACACTCAAACCATCCCTTAATATTGAACAAAAAATCCATGATGTGGATGAGGATTTTTCCATTTTCTCTCTTATTAAGCACTGGTTCTTTTAAGAGGGTAACAAAATGTTTTATGTACTTTGTTTTCTTAGACATAATGTATTACATACTTAATAGACTACAGTATAGTGAAACATAACTTTTGTATGCACTTGGAAGCCAAAATATTAGTGTGAGCTATATTAATTAAGGTATTTGCAGTCTGTAACTGAACTTGCAATATCTCTGAGGTATGCCGATATTCATATCCATATTTATATTTATCTATATACTTTTATCCTGGAGAAGGAAGTGGCAAGCCACTCCAGTATTCTTGCCTGGACAATCCCATGAACAGAGGAGCCTGGCAGGCTGTAGTCTGTGGGGTTGCAAGAGTCAGACACGACTTAGTGACTATACCACAATCACATACTTTTATATCATCCTAATGATATAAAACACTCTCCATAGATTCTCAAGTTCTCTCAAATCATCCTTTAACATTGGACAAAAATAATCCATGATATGGACAAGGATTTTTCTTTTTTCTCTCTGATCATGCTCCAGTTCCTTTAAGAGGGTAGCAGACTGTTTTATCAAACATTCATTGTCTACTCTGCATCAGTCACTGTGCTGTGGGCTGGGAATGCAAAAATGAAAAGGACAGTCTGTGTGCCCTTGAGAGGACCATACTCTTCTGCAGAAGATAAACGTCATAAATAGATCATTATAATAACTGCTCTAGTAAATGTTGGAAGTATATCATCCCTTCTAACTTATTTTAAAGCTTTATTTTAAAGCTTCCTGATGACTCAGCGGTAAAGAATCCCCCTACAATGCACTAGACACAGAGACATGGGTTCGATCTCTGGATTGGGAAGATCCCCTGGAGGAGGAAATGGCAACCCACTCCAGTATTCTTGCCAGGAGAATCCCTTGGCCAGAGGAACCTGGAGGGCTATAGTCCATGGGATCGCAAAGAGCCAAACACGACTAATTGACTAAGCACATCTATGTCAGGCTAACATAGGCACAGAGGATTTGTGTGTGCGTGCCAATAGAGCAATACTTTTATTTTTATAAAAGAAAAGGAATGAAAGGAATGTTGGGCTTTTGTTTTTCTTCTGGTCCAAGATAAAAAAAAAAAAAGATGGACTTTTTCTGCTTTGATCATGAAGAAGGCATGCTTTCTTCACCCCGTGGAAGGGCGCTTCCTTCTGGATCACCATTTAACTTATTTCTGAAGGTATCCTTGTCCTTGCCTTCTTGTTTTTAAGAGGTTGGAAGAGGATTCAGCATTGGATTTTGACTGATGCAGTCTCTAGCCTTTTTAGATCACCTTAGAGTATTTGTACACGTGTCTCTTTAATGCTGTGGATGAGCAGGGATGTTAACATTAAGCTGTGATGTCTAACAGAGTGCTCTGAATTTCCATCCCTTCTCTCTCCTACTTGCTTACCTTTCTGTGGTGGCGATGGCCGTTAGGTTGGTGTAGACAGCAGTGTTGACATCCTTGATTGTCCTCTGACTGTAAGTCCCCACGTTCCCTTTGTCAGCACTCAGCAGGCCCTGCGCCCTCATTCTGCTCCTGTCCAGCCCTGCCTGCGCACCCCCGTGTACTTCCTCCCCCTGTTCTGAGTTTGCCTTGCTTTCTACAAGTTGATTTTGACTTTGATCAAATTCATGGTTGTGTTTTTAAATCATAACTTAGTTTCTTCTCTACTCAGTAAGAGTCGTGACACTAAAATTAGCCCCTCCACCAATAAATGTTCCAGTGACTTCCTGAATATGAGCAGTATTTTTCCTTTTGGATGTCTGTACCCTGATTGCGTGCAGCTGTTTAATTTTCCCTTAGTATCTATTTGACAATGTTTAGAAAGAGCATCTGTAAATCATGTCATTTAATAAAATCACCTGCACAGCCTCTATGCCAGTAAGGTAGGCCAACAATACACAGTCTGCAGAACTGAGGCCCAGGAAGACGGGGTGTGGGCCTAGAGCATAGCGTCTGCCCAAATGTCTGTCCTTTGCTAAAACTTCACTCAATTCATTTGCATAGACTTAGGCCTTGGGGTATGTACTACTCAATGTGTGGTTTTGCACAGATTCAGATGAAATGGCTTTTAGAAGTCTTAGAACTTTAAAGTGATGGCTCTCTAGTATTGGAATCTCCTAGGTGCGGGCACATGTTGCCTTGTAGTAACAACTCTCTGCACATATATATTCTAATAAAAGCCGATGAGCCATTTTGGTGGAGAGCCACTGCTCTCATTTGGAGTGTTTGGTTTTGATTTAGTACTCACCTTTTCCTGGAAGGAAGGAATTCAAAAAAAGAAACAAAAAGAGAAAGAAAGAAGTCACAGGTGACAAATTTCTTTCCTTTGCTTTTGGACATTGCTGTATTATCTAAACAACATTCACAAAGTCAGTTGAGTAGTACGGTCCATTTGAACCCTTTCTTTGGTAAGAAATACTGCTGATATCCAGTTTTGAAGCACACCCCAGAATAAAATCATTTGGGGCCACGTGGAAATGTTTCTAACTGATGCTTGTCTGTCTGCGTGTTTTCTTCCACAGGAGATGGCAAATATTTTGGCTCAGAAGCAATTGCGTTCCATCATCTTAACGGTGAGTACCTGTGTGCTGTGAGCACCTTGTTGGGGAGGAAGGGTCTGGTGGATTTACTGATCTCCTGTTTTGGCTTGGTTTTGTGGTTTGTTCTATGACTTGCTTCTGTGATCAAGCCGTGGGAAGTAGAAAGGAGGTAAAAGTGTGCTTTTGGAAATGGAATAAATAAAGCTTTCCCCCAGGGGTGGCCTTGTGATTGGAGGGTGGGGGTCACTGGAAGAGAGAAACACCTTGTGGCAGGTTTATTATACTCACCAGAGCTTTAACTTTGTATTTAAGGAAATTAGGGACTTCCTGACTTTAACAAATCCACCAATATGAGCTAATACCATTTTTAATGAGGAAACTAGAGAGAAACATATCAGACTCTGAGAGAAGTCCTGAAATTTTGACCATCATTTTCCTGGGCCATTTTGCTAGAGAAAGGCAGGAAGGTCAGGCATGAAACCCACTCATTCACTATGACGCAAAAAATACCTGAAACCTCAGTCGAGAAGAAGCTCTGCATGTTACGTTGTGAAAGTTTAGAAGTAAATCAAACAGCAAGATTTCCTGAGGCCTTATCTGCTACTTGACTTTTAACTAAAGGCTGAAAGAAACATGTGTGATTGATTCTTCTGCTTACCAAAAAAAAAAAGTAAAGATTTATGTGTGTGTAATTCCAAAAAGGAGTTCTGCAAGCATATAGTTACACACACACACATACACATACATTCCAATATCATGAGGCCATTAAAAATTAAAAACCTTATGAGGGCAAATAAAATAAATACTCTAGAATCCAAAGCCAATAATAATGACTACAATTTGTCATCAAGTTTGATGTTAAACTTCCTGGCTGTTAAGGATAAAGAGAAACCATATGAGTGTACTTTTCGTTACTTGATAAAAGGGGTACCCCAGGTCTTTGTAGGATGACATATTTCCACCCCCTGGAACTGGAATCTGAAATGGGTATTGTCAGAACATTCTAATATATTCTTTGTCCAAGAATGGTTTTGTAGAAATTGCAGAGGGATTCAAAATATGGTTATTTTTTATACTCACTCTCAATAAGTGGAAGCAACAATATTCATCATAGAGCAATGAAGGTATTTGTGTAGGGGGTGGAGAGTAGGGTGATGAAAGAATAGAAATCTGGAATTACAGTCTTAGCCTGTGGTTGATATCACCTTCGTGTGGCAGTTGGAGTTAGAATGCCCAGAGATGGAGTGGGTGAAATGACTGTAGCTACCATGTCTCAAAGATCAGTTTACTTCAGCATGACTTTTTAAATGAGATCTTGATGACTGGAAGTTTAAAGTTGGGTGGTATTTTCTGGCAAGAACTTAGAGTGCAGATACTGTTGAGTTACTAATAAAATAAATAGCCATATGCTTTAGTGCCCATACACTTTGGACACTAAACATGCACCAAGAATTCACACTCTTTTGGGAAGATTAGAGGATATGAGGTTTGATTCCCCCCCATCCCATTGCTTGGCTTCCCACCCTCCAATCCACCTAAGTTTTGTTCAGCGACTTCCTTCTATGTCTTCTTCTTCACCCCACCTCTCCTTTAGTTGGCTGTTTCATCATGGTGCTCAGAGCCGGGCTGTGGAGTCCAGATGCACACCAGGTTCAGGGCACCCAGAGAAAATTCCTTGAGACAGCAAGACATGGTTGGGCCTAGTAATTCAAAATAACTCATTTGAGTGGGTGTTTTACCACTTTGACTGGTTGGTTGGCATTTTACAAAGTATTTATTTATTTATTTGCCTGTACTAGGTCTTAGTTGAAGCATGCAAGATCTAATCCCCTGCCTAGGGATCAAACCTGGGCATCCTGCATCAGGAGCACAGAGTCTTAGCCACTGAACCGCCAGAAAAATCTCTGGTTGACTGGCATGTTTAAGGCACAACTGTGGTTTCTGCCAAAGCAGATGCATATTAGGTCCAAGTCTTGAAATCCATTTCAAACCCAGCCCTTGAGGGGACAAAGGCCTACATATTATAGTCTCCTGTCACTCCTTTTATGTTTATTCCATTTTGGTTCTGTTTCTAAGGGGAAGGGTCACTTTCTAAAAAAAAAATTCACTCACTGCATTGTGGGGGTAGTGGTCACTATATAGTGTCCATAGTGAATTAATGACAGATCTGATAGTTACTTAAGCCTTTGTGTAATGCTTCTGAAGCTTTACCTGTTTAGATGTGGGATCACTTCTCAGAGACAGCTGTAGGGTAAGAGGATGGCAGAACTGCTTACAGTACATATGTACAGTTTATCTTTCTGGCAAGGTAAGCAGGCAAGGAGTGCTTCTGTTGTAGAAATCCACAGCTCTCCTCAAGATGCTCTCATTTTAGGCATACCTTCCCTTATATGGCTGTAATAGCCACCAACTTTCCATTTCCTTCCATACCACCCCTCTTCCCTGAATGCAGTAGGTCTTTCCTCAGTTCTGGCCTAAAGATCAGGAACCTTACTGGGTCCTGAAATGTAAAGGAAAAGTCCAGGGTCACCTGTGCATGCATCTTTCTCTTGAAAGTGTTTCCACCCACCTCCATGCCCCGTGCTTCCAAATGAGGTCTTCTGAGCTTCTACTTTGCATCATGATGGGGGTGGGGTGGGTAAATTAGGCTACTTGCTGTTACTTTCTTCCTTTGTTTAAAAAAGTTTCACCCATGAACCATCTCCCTAGCATGTCATCCGAGCTCAGCGGGCCATCAACAATGAAATGGCACACCAGCTGTATGTGCTTCAGGTGCTGACCTTTAACCTTTTGGAAGATAGGATGATGACCAAGATGGACCCCCAGGACCAGGTGAGTGCTCATTAGACAACAGTCAGAGCATATGCGGGAAAGAACATCCTTAAAAGTCTTTTCTTGAGCTTCTTAGAAACCAGGAGGCTTTTCATGATGATAATATTATTATCATATCACAACTTAGGGGAATGAATTTAAAATTTAGATGAATCTAGGATCAGAGAGGACTTCTCTGACAGCTCAGTGGGTAAAAACTCCTCTCTCAATGCAGGAGACACAGGAGACAGGGGTTCAATACCTGGGTCAGGAAGATCTCCTGGAGTAGGAAATGGCAACCCACTCCAATATTCTTGCCTGGAAAATTCCATGGACTGAGGAGCCAGGCAGACTACAGTCCAAAGGGTCACAAATAGTTGGACACGACTGAGTGACTAAGCATGCATAGGATCATAGAATAAAATAAATTAATTATTTTGTTATGCATCGAACACATGCATACTCTTTCCTTATTGGATAAGAAAGCCTGACGTTGCATGACTACAAACACTGATAGCTTGGAATCAACTCCCCAGGACACAGAGCCACTTGGTAGCTCTGTGTGATGTGGCTTCTACAGGCTGAGAGGGTATTTCCATTCTCCAGTGGTCAGAGCCAGGGGTGGAGGTCCCAGGTTACATCTGATTTCTGGGCTTCCATTTCTGTCAGTTGGCTCTCTGCTGTAGATCTCTCTAGGTCTCTGGCTGTTGTGCTTGAGAGGTTAAGTCTTGATCCAAAAGGCTCTGGGGGAACTTTACTGTGTGAGGGCAGAGTGAGAGGAAACAGCTGGAAGCGCTGCTGTAGCATATTTGCAGCTTAAACAGCGCTGCAGCTTTGGAAAGGAAAACACTCGTTATTGGCACGTGAGGGTCTGATCTCTGGCAGATGTGGACACACATGCGAAGTGTGTAACTGCCGCAGCACTTCATTCGTGGCGTGAGGCCACGCGATTAAGAATGATCCAGAGGCTTCCAGCAGCCGTCTGATGTGCCCCACACTTCTGTCAAGGCCAAGTGCAATCATCACAGAGAGATGAGACTGCCTTATGACTTCTAGTTTGAGAGGCAATGCGTCCAGAGGTGGAACAGCCTTCCCCTTCTTGGAAACCTCCTCCTTTTTATGTAAAAGATACATGCCTTTTTCTTATTGTGGTTAAACATGCATCACAGAACCTTTACCATTTTAATTGTTTTTCAGATTTGTCTCTATGAAGTCACTCAGTGGAGTTAGGGATCCCTTATCACTTACCTAGTGTTCTCAAATCTTACGTGCCTCTCACTTTATTTCTGATAGTACAGGACTTCAAGATCCTCCAACTTCGCTTTTTCCAATCACAAGCCTTCCATCATATTCGGGGCTTTTTTTGAGAATGTCACAGGGCAGTTGATGCCAGAGCTCCAAGGGGCTTGGCCATGAGGATAACTGTGGAATAAAGCCAGGGCTGACCAGCAGGGAGAGTGGCAGGAGGGGAAAAAAAGTTCACAGAGCTGTAACTTAGAACATTGTTTGCCTTTTATCTGTTTCCCTTTTGCCTGTACCCAGTGATTCATTTAGACCCTGGGGAATGAGGGAGTAGATGAAACGTCACAGAATGAAGACAGCTCTCTCTCACTCCCTTTTTTTCCTTCCTAACCCCTTCAGGCTCAGCGGGACATCATATTTGAACTTCGAAGAATTGCTTTTGATGCAGAGTCTGAACCAAATAACAGCAGTGGCAGCATGGAGAAGCGCAAGTCCATGTATACCCGGGATTATAAAAAACTTGGCTTCATAGTAAGTAAGACATCTCCAGTAAGCCCTCTCCTTCCAGCACCCGGGGGCCTGACCTCAGCCACATAAGCGAGGTCTCCTCCGAGCCTGTGGTCCTCCTGTGCCTTACAGAATAGTTTCCACATTTTCCAGATGTTTAGCTGATTTAAACAGGATCACATGAAAATCTCTTCTGGCTGCAGCGGAATGGAATAACTTGTACAAGTGTGACTAATACTGAGTTTGTTTATTCAGTTCTGATTAAGTGTAACCAAGAGTAGTTAGCCCGGAAAGCATCTAGACTTGGTTAGATGTACTTCACAGGAGGCTGAAGATTCTATTTACATGAAATGGGTTTCTGCAACTGTGGCAGAAACCTTATTTGGGGCTGGTGACTGGGTTATTCACATATGTCGATTCCATATCAAAATCAGATTGAGAGTCTCCTGAAATTTAATCATGGTGTGACACGCAGTTTATATTGTCCTAAAACTTTTGTCTTGCTATGGATGCTAATTAGTTACCACTTAGATTTTCTTTTTACTTAGTTTGCAGATCGGAACACAGCCTTGTCCTGAATATAATCTGTTGTTTTTGTTTCTGCTTCCGGTCCATTTTTGCTTTTATCATTATCACATTTCTATATGACCTTTGGCTTCTTAACCTCAAATTCTGCAGGTGTAAATTTGGGTTTCTTTCTACCTCCTTCATAACCAACATAAATGAGAATTTTGTCTTCAGTAATTAGAAATCATCGGGCATTATTTTATAACTCAAATACTCTTTCCTTGAATATACATACACACACTAATATTAATATTCATTTGTACACATTGGTATTTATGCTTTATTGTTATTTGTCAAACCTTGTCTTTTGTGGGAATTCTTTGAAAATGTTTCCACATCAGTTATATGCATTGTTATTCATTACTGAAGAGCTTTTATTATATGAGTGTACTACAGTTTATTTAGCCAAGCTCTTTTACTGAGTATTTCAGTGTTTTAAAATTACAGGTAAGTCTGCAATTAACATCTTTGCCTCTCAGTATTGATGTACATCCTTGATCATGTCATTAGGATAAATCCATGGAACTAGCATTTCTATGGTATATATTTTTAAAGCTATTGATATCATCAAATTGCTTTCCACAAACACTGGGTAATTTCCATTTTAACCATTGGTGCATCAGAGTAACTTTTTAATAAACCTCTCCAATAATATTTGTAAAACTAGAAAAAAAACCATAATAATTTGATGTTATGCCTTTTTTACTGGTAGTCTTAACATGCTTTTTCTAATAAGAACACTTGTGAAGCATTGTATTCAGCTTTGCAACTTGCTTTACAGAGCTTCATTTTTATGCTGTCATATCCCAAATTTTGACTTTGACATTCCATTTGATCTTTTAGCTGACTCTGTTTTTCTAAATTTTAGCAAAAAACTCCAAGACTGATGGAGAGTGAGAGTCCCTGTGCTTGATGTGTGTCGATGATCAAGTTTCCAAGGTGGCCCCGGTCCTGCTCTCACCCACCTGTGCGTTGGCAGACTCTGTTTACTAGGGAGTTAGCTGTGGAATTGTGGATGCAGCTTGCATGCTACCTCCCGACAGTTCCTTCCAGGTTTTACTTTAATGTGTTGAGTGAGGAAAGTGAAAGTGAAAGTTAGTCTGTCAGTCGTGACCCCATGGACTGGAGCCTGCCAGGCTACTGTGTCCATGGAATTCTCCAGGCAAGAATACTTGAGTGGGTTGCCATTTCCTTCCCCAGGGGATCTTCCCGACCCAGGAATTGAACCCGGGTGTCCTGCACTGCAGGCAGATTCTTTACCTTTTGAACCACCAGGGAAGCCCCATGTTGAGCCAGAAGTCATGTGCAAATCACCTGGGAAGTTGTGCAAAATCATCCAATCTCTTACCCGTAGGTCTTAATCAGAGTGGCCAGGGAAAAGACCAAGGTGTGTACGTTTCGAACTGCTTCCCCTTGATCCTGATAGTCCATCCCGGAGGGGAGCCTGGTGGTAGGGTACACCTGAGTTACTGCCACTTCATGTTCCTCCTTTTGATACTACCTGGATTTCTAGTGCATTTGAACAATGTGGAAAATGCAAAGTGAGCTCTTTAAACATACTGATCCCTGGACACAATGTGTCTCTGACCCAGGTCCTAGTGGTTTTTGTCAGGGGCAGTTGGGTCCCAGAACACACAGTGTCATCTCTTGTCCTGGGCATGTGTCTGAGGGACAGAGGAGAGAGGGAAGTTGAGGAAAGACCGCTCGGTAGGACTTGGATTATCCCAGCTTTTTGTGTTACTGCAGGTCTCTAGGAAGGATAGACTTAACGAGGGTGGGAGGTATGAGACACCTCCTTTTTTATTTCCATGCTCTGGTCCTGTGTGAAATCTCCAGGGTATCCCACAAGCCAAACTCTGAGTGATTTTTCTCGATGGAGCTCCATCTGTCTTAACACGATTGATAATTCCTTCCATAGTTGGCTTCTGGGGTCTGTCTCTGTGTTAGTTTTCAACGTCTGCTGAGTGTTTTTTGCTTTGTGAGTACTTTATGGAGAATGTTGCATTTTTAAAGTAGAAGTTAATTTGATGTGGTTTTAAGGCCTTCAGCACTTATGTGGCCTCCACTCCAAGGATTTGAAAAGTCATTTTAAAAAAAGCAAAGATCTTGAACAGAGAATAACCAAAAGGGAGTGTTGATTTCCTTCATTTTTCCCTGGTACTTTCTTTGAGCTTTCAATTTTAGTCCTTCCTCTGAAACGTCTTCCAGGCCACGATCTTGCATCAGGTAATGGAGAAACTGAAAAGACTAGTTAGTCATGATTTCTAATGCTAGAAATGATGCAACCACTTTCACAAGCAGAAATTTTCTCTTTTGACTACCTGTCATCAGAAATAGACAGGCCTCAATGGCACCCCACTCCAGCACTCTGGCCTGGAAAATCCCATGGACGGAGGAGCCTGGTGGGCTGCAGTCTATGGGGTCACGAAGAGTCGGACACGACTGAGCGACTTCACTTTCACTTTTCACTTTCATGCATTGGAGAAGGAATGGCAGCCCACTCCAGTGTTCTTGCCTGGAGAAGCCCAGGGACGGCGGAGCCTGGTGGGCTGCCGTCTATGGGGTCGCACAGAGTCGGACATGAGTGAAGCGACCTAGCAGGAGCAGCACTAATGGAAACACAGGCTGGTGGTGCCACCTAGAGGCCATTGTGCAAAACGCAGAAAGCTGGTGGAGAACATCAAGTGTCTGTCCTGGAAAGCTCTGGATGCAGGAAGCTTCCTGGTAAAGGATTCTCTCTGTGCTTCCAAAGGAGTAGTCTTGTCTGTAAACTCCTTGCCGACCTCCTCCACAGTCTGAGATTTGGGTAACCTTTTGGATCTCTTTGAAGAAAAGTCCAAGTCATATAAGATTGTAATTCCTCTTTTTTACATCTGAGTAGGAAATGTTAAGTGACAAATTTTTGGAGTTGAGTGAGTCTAGATTTTAATTCCATCCTTCCCACTTAAAAAGCTGCTTGCTACTAACGAGCCATTTATTAATAACTGGCCAGTCGGGCAGTTCTGTGAGCTTCCCAGGCGGCTCAGTGGTGAAGAATCCGCCTGCAGAGCAGGAGACGCGGGAGGTGGTTCCAGTCTCTGGGTTGGGAACACTCTCTGGAGAAGGGCATGGCAACCCACTCCAGTCTTCTTGCCGGGAAATCCCATGGATAGAGGAGCCTGATGGGCTACAGTCCATAGGGTCGCAAGGAGTCGGACACAACTGAAGCGANCTGGGTTGGGAACACTCTCTGGAGAAGGGCATGGCAACCCACTCCAGTCTTCTTGCCGGGAAATCCCATGGATAGAGGAGCCTGATGGGCTACAGTTCATAGGGTCGCAAGGAGTCGGACACAACTGAAGCGACTTAGCATGCAAGCACGGGGCAGTTATTTAACCTATCTGGGTGTCAGTGTCCTCAGGATGAAGCTGGGCAGGTGCTCCTCTATTTGGCAGCTGCTGGAGGGCCCTGTAAGAGCATCTTTTAGCAACTGGCCTTGCACCTGGCATGGCAGAGGCTCCCAGCCAATGGCACCTCCCTCCGTTACTTTTCGGAGAGCACATATCAAGGAAATCATAGGCAGCTTTTTACGTTTTCCGCAGTGGAGGGGCCGTTGCTCCAACAAGGCAAGAAGAACAGTTTGTTACTGGATAATAAAGCACGACACTTTTGAGAAGGCAGATGGGCCTCACATTTCTTCTCAGTGCAGCATCCCAACAGAGCAGATTTTTCTGGTGAAATCATTCTAAAGTCCCAATCTGAAGTGGCTAAATGGTTTGTATGGTTAGTCATAACACAGAAAAGCACTTACTCTTAGCACAAAGCTACTTATTCTTCCAAGATCTTTTAGTTAATGGTTTCTGAGTTGCAAAATGGACATGCTTGTAGATTCCCTGGTAAGAAGAGGGAGTCAGGAATGTCTGCATTAATACTAATCTTATTGGAACTTCTAAGAAGGTGTATGTGTGCTGCTCAATGTGACAGAAGGCAGATTCACATTTTTAGAGTGATTTTATTTTGAAAACACAGGAAATACCTTTATACAGACCATGCCCTATTGACTATAATGACTAGGAACTGTGCAGAATGCTTTGCATACCCTGAGAAGAGTTGAGCTCCTGGCCACAGACCCTTTAGAATGTGACTGTCTTGGTGTCAAATTGATAGCTTCTCTATTTGTGGATTTTACCTTTGTGCAGTCTAAGAGGAGGTATCTGTAGTTCTTTTTTCTTGAGCCCTCTTGGACTAAGGCAGATGTCAAAAAATGGAAAAGAGTGGGTTTTTTCCTTAGTTGCCTTTTTCTTTTTCTTCAGCTTGACTGGGGATAAAATAAGCTCATTTTTAAAAAGAAACTCTTTCTGAACAGCATAATGTGCTTTTAATATGAAGTGTTTTGATAAGCATTTACCTTAACATTTTCAGATGGTCTTAACATAAAAAAAAGGCTAACATGTGATAGTGAAACAAGGTACTGGGAA